ACACCCTCCCGGGGGTCGGAGGGACCCCCAAAATTTTTTGGGGGGTGGGGGTGGGGTGTTCTAGATCACCCGACCATTGGGGGGGTCGGTTCTAGGTCAGGCATTTGGGGATCCCCATTTTGGGGGGGATTCAGTTCAGTTCTAGGTCACCCAAGGGAGCTCCCCAATTTTGGGATCCCAAATTTCGGGATCCCCAATTTTAGGATCCTCAATTTTAGGATCCTCAGTTTTGGGGTCCCCAATTTTGGGATCCCCAATTTTAGGATCCTCAATTTTAGGATCCTCAGTTTTGGGGTCCCCAATTTTGGGATCCCCAATTTTGGGATCCTCAATTTTAGGATCCCCAATTTTGAGGTCTTCAGTTTTGGGATCCCCAGTTTTAGGGTCCTCAATTTTGGGGTCCCAAATTTTGGGATCCCCAATTTTAGGATCCTCAGTTTTAGGTTCCTCAATTTTAGGATTCCCAATTTTAGGATCCCCAATTTTAGGTTTCTCAATTTTAGGATCCCCAATTTTGGGATCCCCAGTTTTGGGATCCTCAATTTTAGGATCCTCAATTTTAGGACCCCCAATTTTGGGGTCTTCAGTTTTGGGATCTTCAATTTTAGGATCCCAAATTTTAGGATCCCCAATTTTGGGACCCCCAATTTTGGGATCCTCCATTTTGGGACCCCCAATTTTGGGGGAAGATTTGGGGCGGGGTCGGTTCTAGGTCACCCAAGTAGGGTTTGGTTCTAGATCACCCAAGTGAATTTTGGTCAAACCAAGGCTTTATTCCATTGGCTGCTCCCCCAGGAGGGGGCGTGGCTCTGCCGAGGGGGCGTGGTTTGCAGAGGGGGCGGGGCTAAAGGGAGGAGTGTTTGGGGGGCGGGGTCCGGGCGAGCTTCTCGGGGTGGTCCGAGGCCATCAGGGAGATGTCGCGGAAGATGTCGAGGTAGGTGTCGTCACCTGGGGGCGGCAGGGGAGGGGACCCCCCAATTGGGACCCCAAAAATCAGGGATTCCCCCAAAATCCGGGGATTCCACCCCAAAATTCTCACGTGAATCATCCAAAATCCCAAAATCCACCCCAATATCCACTCCCCCTCCTCCAAGGCCGTCCCAAACTTGAGAAACCTCCCTGAAGATTGGGGAACCACGCAAAAACTCCCCAAAACTCCACCTCTGATGTCCCTCAGGACCCCCCAAATCACAGAGACCCCCCAAAATCCCAGAGACCCCCCAAAATCCCAGAGACCTCCCAAACCCACCGGTCTGTCCCTGGGCCACCTCCAGCTCTCGCATCTTGGCCAATCGCAGCCTGGGGGGGGATTTGGGGTCACATTTGGGGTCAGATTTGGGGGGTCAGATTTGGGGTGCCCACCCTGGGCCCCCCCCCGGGGTCTCACAGGGTGACGATGTCGGCGTTGGCCAAGTCCATGGCGATGGTCAGGGGGTCCCTCCCGTCCGCGTCCACCGCGTTGACGTCGGCCCCCCGCTTCAGGAACAGGCAGGCCAGGCTGGAATTTGGGGAGGGGGACATCGAGGGGACATTTTGGGGACATTTTGGGGACATTTTTGTCAGGGACGACACAGGGATCCAAAAATGAAATAAGTATCCTCTAAAAAATACAGACCCCTAATAATAGAAGGGAAACCCCCTAAAGGGAAAAGGAGCAGCCCAAGGGAACAGGGAGTCTCTCCAAAGGTATTTAGGCACTGCGCCCAAACATCAGCACCCCAAAATCAGAACAGGGACCCCCACAAAAGGCAACAAGAACCCCTAAAGAGCAGCAGGACCCCAAAAGGAAATAAACCACCCTCCAAAAAAATGTGGGTGAACCCTCTTCAAACAACCCAGCTCAGGTCACCCATCCAGGCCCTGACCAGGGCAGACCCTGCTTAGCTTCGCACACATCTGCTTTAGGGGTGAGCAACGCCACCATTCACCAAATGGGGGTGAATTCAGAGCCCCCTCCCAGTCCCTCCCAGTTGCTCCCAGTACACACCCGGTGTGTCCCAGCATGGTGGCGTGGTGCAGCGGTCCCCGGCCGCGGCTGTCGCTCTGGTTGACGCTGGCCCCGTTCTGCAGCAGGAACTCGCAGGCCAGCAGGGAATTCTCGGGGAAAGGGGGGACGGGCTCAGGGACCCCTCCCCAAAACAGGAACACCCTCCCAGTGCTCCCAGTTACCATGAGCATGGCATCCAGCAGCGGGGTGCTGCCCTAACCTCCCCCAGGACCCCCCAAAGAGCCCCCCCACACCCTCCCAGTGGGTTCCCAGTGCTCCCAGTTACCACGGCCACGGCCTCCAGCAGCGGGGTGCTGCCCTAACCTCCCCCAGGACCCCCCTGAGGACCCCCAGGACCCCCGCAAGAGCCCTCCCAGACCCTCCCAGTGGGCTCCCAGTGCTCCCAGTTACCACAAGCACAACCTCCAGCAGCGGGGTGCTGCCATCCAGCAGCGCAGGACCCCCCTGAGGACCCCGAGGACCGCCCAAAGAGCCCCCCCAGACCCTCCCAGTGGGCTCCCAGTGCTCCCAGTTACCACGGCCACGGCCTCCAGCAGCGGGGTGCGGTTGCCGTCGGCGCCGTTGGCCCAGCCGGGGTCGGCGCCGTGCGCCAGCGCCTCGGCCATGGTGGGCAGGCGGCGGCGCCGGGCGGCCCAGGACAGCAGAGCCCCGGGGTGCAGGCAGGGCGCGGCCTCCGGCTCAGCGCCGTCCGGGGGCGGGGCTAGGGGACACGCCCATGCGGGGTAAGCCACGCCCATTCAGAGAAAAGCCACGCCCATTCCAAGAAAAGCCACGCCCACGCTCATTGCAGCGCCTCCCCAAGGGGGGAATGGGTTGTAAGCCACGCCCACAATTGGTACGAGCTCCACCCACCGAGGAACAAACCCCACCCACTGAAAGAAAAGCCACGCCCACAATAGATGACACAAAGAAGCCCCACCCACCAAGCAACAAGCCCCACCCCTTGGTTAACAAGCCACGCCCAGAAGCATTTCCATTAAAAAGCCCCACCCACCAAGGAACAAGCTCCACCCCTTTTAAAAGAAGCCACACCCACAAGAGTTTCCATAAACAAGCCCCACCCACTAAGGAACGAGCTCCACCCCTTGATGAGAAGCCACGCCCACAGCAGCCATCAGAAAGAAGCCCCACCCACACAAGAACAAACTCCACCTCTTTTCCAAGAAACCACGCCCACACCACAAGCAGCAGCCTATCAAGATTCAGACCCAACACAAGCCACGCCCCCTAAACCACACCCACAACCAATCCCTAATTAATTATGCAATCCCCACCCCTTTCCACCAAGCCCCTCCCCTTGAGGAAAAGCCCCACCCCTTCACACCCAACCACGCCCCTTTTCACCAAGCGACGCCCCTTCTACAGCAAACCCCACCCCTTTTACAGCAAACCCCGCCCATTTCACAAAAAGCCACGCCCCTTACAGTAAGCCCCACCCCTTACAATAAGCCCCACCCCTTTTAGTTCATGCCACACCCATTTCCTGTCTAGTGCCACCCCTTTACAGTGAGCCCCACCCCTCTACATTTAGCCACGCCCCTTTTCACCAAGCCCCGCCCCTTCACATTAAGCCACACCTCCTTACAGCAAGCCACACCCCTTTTCAACAAGCTCTCCCCTTTACACCAAGCCCCGCCCCTTTACATGAAGCCCCGTCCTTTTCCACTAAGCCACGCCCTTTTACCAGCCTCACCCCTTTGTATTAAGCCCCACCCCTTTACATTAAGCCACACCTCTTTCCAACAACCCCCAACCATTTGCATAGAGCCACGCCCCTTCTCATTGAGCCACGCCCCTTTACATTAGGCCTGTCTTTACACTAAGCCACGCCCCTTCACACCAACCCTGCCACTTTGCAACAAGCCACGCCCCCTTACAGTAAGCCACGCCCCTTTACAACAAGCCCCACCCCTTTTACACAACTCCCTCCCCCTTTATACCAAGCCACGCCCCTTTACAGCAAGCACCACCCCTTTACATCAAACCACGCCCCTTTACATAACACCACACCCTCTTTATAACAAGCCACACCCCTTTGTGCCAAGCCACGCCCCTTTCCCACCAACCCCACCCCATTATCACACCCCCTTTACATCAGGCCCCGCCCCTTTCCCACAAAGCCACGCCCCTTTTACACAACCCCTTTTCCAGCAAGCCCCGCCCCTTTCCCAATAAGTCCCGCCCCTTTACACCAAGCCCCGCCC